TGAGATCGCACCACTACTCCAGACTGGTGACAGAGTGAGACTCCGTCAAAAAAAAAAAAAAAAAAAAAAAGAATTTGTTATTTAACCAAATTATATTGATCTTATAGTACATTTATACTAAATGAATATTAGTACAAATGATTTCAAAAACTGACAATATGTAATATAAACTTAAATTTATTTACAAACTTAAAATTATATGCCATACCTATATATAAAAATATATATACAAATATAATTTGGCTAATTCATACTTTAAATGATAACTTACCTGCAAAGACTGAAGTGGTTCACTTAGTTCAACTTTATCTTCTTTTAGTATCTTAGGAATAGAATATTAATATAAGTTAAACCAATAAGCAATAATAATTTAGAAAATAAAAATATAAATTTCTATTAGACTTAAGGAATACTAGAACACCATCACTAATATGAAATAAAAACTGGCCAGGCATTGTGCTCACACCTGTAATCCCAACACTTTGGAGGCTGGGACTGGAGGATTGCTTGAGCCCATGAATTTGAGACCAGCCTGGGCAACATAGTGAAACCCCATCTGTGTGGTGGCATGCACCTGTAGTCCCAGTTACTCAGGGGGCTGAGGCAGGAGTATCACTTGAGCCCAGGAGGTCAAGGCTGCAGGAGCCAATCACACTACTGCAGTCCAGCTTGGACAACGGAGAAATATCCTGTCTCAGAAAAAAATAAATAAAAACTAAAATCCTAATGAAACAGTACTGTCACTTAGCAAGAATTTAAAAAGCTCTCAGCAGTACTAGTAAAATTGAAGTAAAATAAATATTCTAATTGTAAAACATTAAAATTTTTATATTTGAAAATATCATGGCCGGGCATGGTGGCTAATGCCTATAATCCCACTCTGGGAGCACTCTGGGAGGCCGAGGCGGGTGAATCGCCTAAGATCAGGAGTTTGAGACCAGTCTGGCCAACACAGAGAAACCCCGTCTCTACTAAAAATACAAAACTTAGCTGCACATGGTGGCATGTGCCTGTTGTGTCAGGTACTCAGGAGGCTGAGGCAGGAGAATCGCTTGAATCCAGGAGGCGGAGGCTGCAGAGAGCCAGGATTGCACCACTGTACTCCAGCCTGGGCAACGGAGTGAAACTCCGTTTCAAAAAAAAAAAAAAAAAGAAAATATCAAGAACCTAAGAAAGACAGTTGTTCCTAGCCTTCTAAATAATTAGTTCTACTTCTGGAATCAAATCTAAGGAAAAAACTTCAATGATTTATGTGCAAAAACATTTATTAAAGTGTTACTTATGATAGCAAAATGCTGAAAATTATTTAAATGACCAAAATAGAGAACTGTTTGTCCAAAGCACAAGAAAGCCATAGGATGGATGGTAAATAACCTTTAAAACGTATGTTTAAGAAGAATTATTAATAACGTGAGATAATACAATGATATTAAGGGGAAAGGATATAAAGCTATTTATACACAACAATCTAACCATATTTTTTTAACTGCACACACACAAAAAAATCTGGAAACATTAATAAAAATTCTGAGAGGTTTTTTCCTGTTTTCTATATTTAGAAAAAAAAGAAAAAAAATCAAGATTATTAAAAGGAGGGAAGAAAGGACCAGTAACATAGAAAATAAAGTAAGACATAAAATGGAGGCAAGTGAGGCCGGACATGGTGGCTCATGCCTGTAATCCCAGTACTTTGGGAGGCTGAGGCAGGCAGATCACCCGAGGTCAGGAGTTGGAGACCAGCCTGACCGACGTGGTGAAACCCCATCTCTACTAAAAATACAAAAATTAGCCAGGCATGGTAGCACATGCCTGTAATCCCAGCTACTCGGGAGGCTAAGGCAGAAGCATCACTTGAACCTGAGAGATGGAGGTTGCAGTGAGCCAAGATTGTGCCACTGCACTCCAGCCTGGCGAAAGAGCAAGACTCTGTCTCAAAAAATAATAATAAAAATAAAAAATAAAATGGAGTAAGTGAAACATTCTACTTGCTTTTTTTCCAAACATGTCTGTAGAAGTGACCCTTCTAAAGTACTAACGACATCCCCACTGAGAAACACTAATCTAGATGATTTATCCTAGAATTTCAATTCATCCTAATTAGAACTTTTTTTTTTTCTTTTTTTGAGACAGAGTCTCACTCTGTCACCAGACTGGAGTGCAGTGGTGCAATCTCGGCTCACTGCAACCTCCGCCTCCCATGTTCAAGTGATTCTCCTGCCCCAGCCTCCCAAGTAAGCTGGTATTACAGGTATGTGCCACCACACCCAGCTAATTTTGTATTTTTAGTAGAGACAGGTTTATCCATTTTGGTCAAGCTGGTCTCAAACTCCCCACCTCAGGTGATCCGCCCACCTTGGCCTCCCAAAGTGCTGGGATTACAGACATAAGCCACCTCACCCAGCCCTAGAACCATTATTTTTTATATAACTACTGTGGTTTGGTTCCCAAACTGCACAATAAGGTACTCTGGGGTGGCACAATGAACTCACAGGAACTCCACAAGATGTTTTACATGTAGGGAAACAGTGTCACTTGACGTTTGTCTGACACTGAATCAACTACTAGCTCCAGGTCTATTTCAACATCAGTTCTTGCTACATATCCCTCAATGACATCATGTTTTGTGAAGTTGGATTCTGAGAAACTGCTATGATAAAAAGCAATTACCATGAAAAAATCAATGTGTAACAAGAAATAAGGTGGTGTTACCTAATCTATTCCAAGATTTAAAAAGTTGTATAGTGCTCAACAGAGGTGTATATTCCATTAGTAATATGTGGTGTTTTTTTTTTTTTTGGTTAATACATATATTCAGAAGAGCATGA